GATCCAGAGTAGAGTAGTTTGGAATAGGTGATTTCATGAATTGACATCTGTTGAAACTGTTTAAGCTTTTTTTAAAAAAACATGGCCATGTTCTTAAAAATTTTTTCTAACATTGGAGATCTGGGTGCCCGTTGGTTGTTTTGATGGCATGAGCTTGCTTCAGAAAGTATCTCCAAGTAAATTCTAATTTATAAAATAGTAGTAAAATGGTCATTTCTAAGCAGATGCTGAAGACCTGAGATAGGAGCATTCCCCAGCACCCAGCTCAAGGCTCCACCGTGCAAAAAGCACTTGCTAATCAATGGGTTGACTTGGAGGAGCCAGGGGTATTCCAATTCCAATGCATTTCACTAATCCACACTCTTTATTTCCATGGATGGGACTTGCTAGGATCCCAGAATCTTAAGCCAGTAGTCCAGATCTCATTTAATAAGTTACGACCCGGAGTTCCAGAGACTGTATTCATCATGGTGAGCTCCAGTGGCTCAGAGGCACAATGTGGTAAGGACACTTCTCTGGAGAGGGACTTAGGTTTGCCTCTCCAAAACACCACTCTCTAGCTGTGAGATCTCTTAAGGGCAGCCACTTAAGATCTTTTTGCTCTATTTTTTCACCTGTAAAATTAGACTAACAATAATAATATCTTCTTCTGTTGTGACTATTAAAGCTGTTGTGACTATTAAATCAGATGATCTAGTATTAAGCACTTAGTGAATATTTAATAATGATCTATCATCATTGTCATCACCAGCAACATCATCTTTCTAGCTAGTCAGTGGCAGGAATAGCTCAGTCAGGTCCTCTGACCCCTTGTTTCCCAACAAAGAATGGGAAGCAGTTATGAAACTAATGGAAACATGTAGCTCCCATACAGCCACAATACTTTGAAAGAGGCACAAAATGTTTACTTTTGTATCTACATTGGGAAATATGTTTTCTCTTTCTGAACAGTCTTTATTACAACTTTTAGGAGAGAAGGGGAAGCATACCATCCTGGTCTATTTGACTGAACCAGAAATTGGGTTGAGTTCTAAATATTAAAACTTTATCAGTGGTGTGTTAAATACCATTGCTGATATAGATTATTCTTGTTTTAATGTTTGTAACACTCCTGAGAAAGATATGTGTGGAGTGAGTATTTACATTTTGGATTCTACTAACTTTAATAATGAATTTCACAATAATTTCAGAATTATATCACCTCAGGGAAAAAAGTCAAAAGTGATTATGCAAGGAGGAGCTCAGGCAACCAAATCTTCCTTTCAAGGAACATTTAGTCTTCATGTATCTTTAATTTCCTGCACACTTCCCTCAGGGATTCAAATAATCAGTTCAGATGATTTTAGACAGTTAAAGCATACATATGTTAAAAACACATCATGTTTTTTTCATTCCTCTGGGATTGTCACTGATTTCTTAGGACTTGAAAGAACATCTGTCCCAGATATTCAGAAAGTTTTAGCAATATAAGTACCTGCTGATTTTCATGCTGATCATAAGCAGCATGAGAAGAGTGATATGGTCCAAGACTAAAGGCTTTGTGGAAGAGAAGACCCGGATTCCACTGAGAAGATGAGTTCCCTTTTTCTAAACTTTGATTTCCTTATCTACAAAACAGTTTTATCTACGGCAGTGGTTGATTCAAGAACTGGAAGGTACAAAGTATGCAAAATTTGGGATATAACATGTGAAACATTGGCCATTATTACTATCAATGAACAATTGTCAAATGACTAATAGACTTTTACAAAAGCAATTTAGCTTGATGGGGAGTTTTGAAATGTTGACTGAACCTATCAGCTTCTCTTCTTCACATGTTTTTCGGTGATTATCTCCACTCTGGCCTGCTAGCCAGAGTGAAATAGTTGCATGTCCCTCTTTCCTTGGAACAGCATGATTTTAATTCATTAGGTTACTTTGCAACCTCCGCTCTCTGAGAGGATGAAAAATGTTACTCTTTTGTAGACTCTACGGCTTGTTGTGGTCGTTGGGCTGGAGTGACATTCTCTTGTGACTTTTTCATCCCAAGCCAGAGTGGAAGTCCCTGTCAGGCTCCTTTAACATCACTGGATGCTACTGCTCCGACCTCTGCTGAAAGACGGTTCGTGGAAAAAGATATTAGACAGCTAAATGGGACCATTGCCACCCAGGTGAATCACCATGAGAAGTGAGTATCTTTGAAGAGATTTCTTTTAAAGGGACCTTTAAAATACACATGGGTCAGGTTCTTAACCAGTCATTCTGTTCTTTCTGGTTAATCACCAGGTTGTTGGACACATTTTCTAGTAAAGCCCAAATCCAGGAGTGCTTAGTTGTACAAAAATGGGTATATCCAAGAAAAAGATGGTCCTGAGGGTCTTGTGATCTCTCTCTCAAAGAACAGTGGGCTTTCCTTTTCTTCCTTTCTTTCTTCTTTTCTTTGTCATGAAAACAAAGAAGCAAAAACAAAACAAAACTCCCGAAACTAATGAGCTACTCTACTGAAAGCTTCAATTTCACTCAAAAAGACAAATATAAATAGATTTGTTTTCCCAGTTTTACCCTGAAGCCAGCACATATGGATATAGGTTATTTTCTTAATTTATAAGCAAACCATCCTATGTCATAATAAAATGCATATGGGTTCCCAAGTCCACAGACATGATCATCTCCCAGGAAAATATATGTGCTGTTTAATCCTTGAGATTGCTAGTTGTCCTTCTGAATATTAAATACCAGGGAGTTTATTACAGTGTTTTATTACTGTATTAGAATGGTGTGATATAATCTCAGCCATATGTATTCTCTTTGCTTCTTTGACCTTATTATTCTCCTGAGCCCAAACTCTGATAATGAAAGGAACACTTAGATTAAAAATAAATTTAACTAGTAATTGTGCTCTGCACTTGTTATTAATCACCCATTTCATACCTCAAGAGGACAGCTCTTTATTCTTATAATTCACTGTTGAGAGTTGGGATCTGCAGAAGGTAAGTGGAGTTTAAAGTGGTTTATATCTGATGGTGTGTTATTGTCAGAGCTCTCTGGGGTAAGTTGAGAGTGAATATCCCGGCCTATCTCAAGGACTGAAATCTCTCCCCAGGTGTGAGGAACTAACACGAATTCAACTAGCTGAACTAGTGTGTGAAAGTATTTGAATCGAATTAGGGTCAGAGAGAGACTGAACCTTTCACTGACAACACAGTGGGATCTGATCATCAATGAACTACAGTCACATTCATGTTCTTCCAGGTTCTAATGGAAATCCGTTTTTCTCTGGCCCATTGAGGTCCCAAAAATAAAAAGCTCTTGGCCAAGTTAAGGACAGATCTTAGCTTTCTAGTGTTTATTTCTGATCATCTGGAGATTTAAGGCTAAAGAGATTTTTTGTGGGGGTCCAGTCATATAACTGAAGGGGGTATGTGCATTAGAAAGATAAGAAAAACAATGTTTCAAGAAGTGGAGGGGGAAGAGGAGAGACTTAGCAAGTTCCAAAGTAGAGGAAGATTGAGATGTAGTCCTGGAAAAATAGAATCTACTTCATAAGACAATGGAGGAGGTGAGCAATAAACATAAGGCCAAGACAAGAGTAAGCGAGTCCTGTTTGTTTAGTCTGAAAGAATCTCCTCATTGTGGGCACCAACTGGACTGAGATAACAAGCCTCAAACCAGGAGGCAATCTGTACCCACACAACTCATTAATGAGAAGTCTTGTCTAAAGAGCAATACCCCAGATAAGGCTAATTTGTGTTTCATCATCCCTTTGTGTTTTTAAGGATCAAGTGCTTTGTGTCTTTAAGGATCAAGACTATCTTAGTGCCCTTGGCTGTTGGCAGGATTGTACTTAACCCGTCAATCTTTACCAGAGGAGCAAGGAGAGCTGTAGTCTGGGTCCTGGAGACAGAAACCAGCCAGGGGAATGGAGCTTGGCTAAATGCTGTGCCACTGCTATTACTCTCAGGCCAACAGGCCTGTTGGTTACCCTGAGACCTGAGTTGGAAATGGAACCAAAGATGCCAGTGAGCATCAAAGAAATCCTGGAAAAGCTGTTTGAACCAGGGCTGTCATTTAAACAATTTAGTATGTCCAGCTGTATAGCTACTTTTATTATCCCAATTGGCTTGGATGAAGTCCTAGTGTGTGGTTAAAGGGAGGATAGGATCAATGTCCCTTTGACAACACCATCCAGCCAATAAGACTAGGATATAACTTATTTCTTAAGAATAGTATCAACCCGAGCATAATTTGTGGCTACCTTTCTAATTGGGCTGCAACCTCCAGGAGGAGCCCCCACTCCACCCTCATAACAAATACATTCTTTCTCTTGAGGGTTCTAGAACCAGTTTCAACCTAAGATAGCAGCCAGAAGCTAAAAAATCCCAGTGCCTCCTCTCAGATCATGTGACTTTGTGCATGGAAATGTACAAGGGCAGGATCGAAAGCAGGGACCACATTGTGCCCTGCACTCCATCCCCAGCATCTAGCACCCAGCCTGACATGTAGTCCACAACAACTGATAAATAGATGACTATAGTAAATAATTGGATGAATGAGTATAAATTCTTTAAGGGTTAGCCTCAAGCTTGTATGCAAGCTTAATTAATTACATTATTTGTACTTATCTGCAGAGCTTCCTTGAGAGTAAAGAAAAAAATGAAGAATAGTATGGAAAGGGCATGACACCCTTTTTCTATGAAAACAGGCCTTAGTTTTGTCAGAAGGTCAAAAACAGCGGTTCTTAAACCTATCTAATCACTAGAAACAGCTAGGGAGGTTTAAAAGAATACAGATTCCTTAAAACCTCTAGATATTCCTAATTCATTGGTTTGGGATGGGTCTCAATTATCTGGATTAAAAAAAAATATGCCCCAAAATATTCTGTTGATGACCTAGGTGTTGGGAACGACTGGCCCAGCATGTGCCACCTTCCTAATGAATGGGAGTGTAGGCTCAGCATTGCTTCAGGGTTCTTTGCTCTTTCTGGGCAGTAGCACCATTCTAATACGGATAGGACTAAGGACAAAGGACTCAGTTGATTTTAAAGTGAAGATTGTGAAATAAGTGAGATTTGTATCCAATATTCTGTTTCCTCTCTGTTACGGGATGAACTGTGCCCCCCCATTCTTCACTCATGTGTTGAAGTCCTCATACCCAGTACCTCTGAATATGACCGTATTAGGAGGTAGGGTCTTTATAGAGGTAAAACGAGGTCATTGGGGTTGGTCTTAACCCAATCGCACTAATGTTCACATGAGAAGAGGATATCAGGACATGCACACACACAAAGAGAAGACCATTTGAGGACACAGAGAGAAGGTGTCCATCTACAAGCCAAGGAGAAAGACGGCAGTAGAAACCAAACCTGCTGACACCTTGATCTTGGAGTTCCAGCCTCCAGAATCATGAGAAAATAAATTTCTGTTGTTTAAGTTGCCCAATCTGTGATACTTTGTTACGGTCGCCTGAGCTGACTAATATGCTCATCTTTCTGCAACCTTCTCTTCACTCCTCACCTTCTCCGGCTAGAGGCATCTTATCTCTCTGACCTCAGGTCTCCCCATCTGAACTGCTTCACCTGACGCTGTCTCTACTGCGCAGGACTCCAAGTTCTAGATGCATGTCTTTGACGCAATTCAGAGATCATTTATCGACTCGCACCCACGGAACAGGTGCTATCGTAGGCATGGGGGTGGTGGATAAGGTGCTGTTTCAAGGTTCTTGCAGCACCGGCTCAGTTGACACCTCTCTAGGTCAGTCCCCCTGGAGTTTGCTAGGCGACTGCAAAAAGCTGATCAACAAATTACTTTCTGGAATATCATGGATCTTCTATTCTAAATGCTTTCGCTAAGAACACTCTTCAACTAGGCGCTCCTTAGAGATCAAGAAGCTTATCTCATTTATTCTGTATCCTCAACATTTAGCAAAGTACCTGGTACATAGGAGATGCTCAACAAACCTTGTTTTCAGAACCAAGGTGCTCATCTTGCTTCTTACTGACGTGGCAATTTCCTTACTTCGCATAATAATTTCCCTTACTTAGACGTATAATTTAGGAAATATACATTATAATTTACTTATATTATGAATTTAATATAGATTAAAATTATAATAAGGAAATAAAAATTCTTATCTATAGCCTTGAAACAATCTTCTTTCCGTTGGTCTTAGCTCTGACCTGGGGAAATAACTTAATCTCTCTTACACTTTAAATTTATTATTTAGTCATCACATATCTTTTGGCGCCCAACTATATATTAAGTACTGCAATATGGTGGTGAACAGATTTGGTTCCTGCCCTCATTTAGGTAGGCTGGTAGTGGGGACAGATGAATATATATACATATATATGCATACATAAATATATAACCAAAGACTGACAAATGTGATAAAGCGAATATATATAATATGCCAAAAGAAAGACCAACAGAGGCAGTGTGTTTGGAATGGGGACTCAGAGAAAAGAATTTTGAAAAGGTGATATTTAAACTGAGACCTGATGGATGAGTAGCCATCAGCCAGGGGAGAGAAGGGAAAAGAATATTCCATTGCAGGGAGCAGCATGTGTGGAGGTGCTGAAGCAGGAAGCTTGTCACATCCAGGAATCAGAGAAGGCCAATGTGGCTAGGGAGGGGGGTGTGTGGGATTGATCAAGGGGCTGGAGGTGAGCAGTGGGGTCTATGCATTTGAAATTATCGTTAGCGTTGTAGAATTGTTTTTCTTGTTGGATAATCTCCTCTAATTCCATCTATTCCTCATTAGAGCATGTGGTTTCTGGTCCAGTGTCCCTTCTGACCTCCTCTCCTGCCAAGCTTATGCTCAGATGGTGCAACCCTTCCAGCAGCTCTAAGAATTTGTGTATATACACCTCTGAGTAGCTAATCTTATATGTCTTGGTATCTTTCATGTGTGTGTATCCTTCTCAAACGTGAGATGGGATTCTCAAGCAATAAGTGTACATTTACGACCGTATGAAAATCAATCTTAGGGTTTTGGCCACACCTCATGTCTTCCTTTGTCAGGTCCCTGCCCTAAGGGAGCTTAATCAGGACTTCATTTTCTATCTGAAATATTATTCATGGTGATATCTTCACTCTCATCCTAGATTGTCAGCTCCCTGGGGCAGGATGCAGGGCTGAATCATCCTGTGCACTTAGCACAGACACTCCAGAGACTGGGGCCTCATCACTGCTTCTCTTGCTCCTCCCAGGCACTCAGCACTGCAGTACAATTGCCAGAGTAGGCATAAGGCAGATGCTGGGACTAACGGTCTAAGTCAGAAAAAAATCCCAAACTATGTTAAGTGTGTATTTTGGCCTAGAAGGGTTTCATTTTACATTATTTTCGCCTTACTATAAAGTATTGAATGGCCTGTGCTACAGGGATCTGGGGAAGGTGTCTTCTAGTAAAGCTTTTGGTAAAAAAAAAAAAAAAGATCAATTGGAGGAGTAATCTGACACTTGGTCTGGGGAATGCTAGTGACCGTGAGTCTTTATAGAGCATTGCTACTTAGTAAGTTGCACCTTGCACGGGGTTTAGTGTGTTTCGTAACAGAAATTGCTTCGGTTTATAGTTTTCTTCAGCTCTTTTAGAAAGTCATCACTTTTGACAGAGTGGCTGTCTTATTAGAGTTACTGAATTACATTTAGTCTGTTCTAAGGAAAGGGACTGTGTCTTATTCAATGTTGTATTCCAACACTCAGCATAGTCCCTGCACATAGAGGTGCTCATAGATATTTATTCACTTTATTATGGAATTCGAGGGTATGCAGATCCTTTTGGGAAATGTTTCTGTTTATATTCTTATGTTGGCTGCACTGTATTGAAGCTTTAAATGCATCTCATTACTTCAGGCCATCATAAGGTCTTCTCCAGATGCTCTGGTGGCATGAGGAGTTGAATCTGGCAGGAAGTACCCTGTCATTCACTCTCCACAGGACTGGGATTTCCTCACTAAGTCTAGATTCTTGGAGAACAGAACCTCTTCTTACTTATCTTCATAATTATTTGGCACAGTCCTTGGTACATAGTAAGTGGTCAAAATAGGTTTGTGGAGGGCAGTGAATGAATGCATTACCAGAGAAGGAATTGTACCAGTTTTATGACTGTGATCACTAGAGCAGTGAGTGATCAACTCTGTAAAGATTTGCTTCTTGCTCAAAGTCAGCTTCTAAAGATTCAGTTACCAGTCTTGTTAGACACTAGATAATACTATCTGGAAGAGTCTCGATTTAGATCATTAAATCGATCTGTCAAAAAGGATCATAAGGCTGCATGAGATTGAACTCTCTTCTTTTTCTTAGATAGGGACAAATCATGTTCTTTTGCTGGGGGATGCAGTTTGAAAGGTTCCTCATGGCCTCAGTGATCTCAGGTAGCCTTGCCCGTCCCTAGAATCTGTGGCAGAGATCCAGCTGTCTGACTTTGAATACAAACAAGTTCCTACAACCTCTCAGGAAAATCTTTATAGGTAAGGCCAGAACATGCCATGTTTGTAGTAGGAACTGTAAAAATGCTGTGATTAGAGTGATAAAAAAAGGCCTTTGTTGGGGCCGGCTTGGGGGCTTGTTGTTTAGTTTCCCCCCTTCGGTTTCGTTGGCCTGGGGTTTCCGGGTTTCGGACCCTGGGCACGGACCTATGCACCACTTATCAAGCTATGCTGTGGCAGGCGTCCCATATATAAAGTGGAGGAAGACAGGCACAGATGTTAGCCCAGGGCCAATCTTCCTCAGCAAAAAGAGGAGGATTGGTGACAGATGTTAGCTCAGGGCTAATCTTCCTCACACACACACACACACACACACACACACACACAAAGAACATTCCCCACACACCCAAGAACACCTCCCCTGTGCCAGAGAGCCTGCAGTTCTCATCACTCCTCAAAGACTGAGAAGTCCAAGGATGATGACATATTTTCTAGCTTACACAGTGGCAGGGATTATTTTAGGTAATGTGCCCATATTTTTTAGAATCCTGTATGAGATTGAGAGAGTAGGCGTCAATGGAAAGGTTGGGTAGGGGTCTGGGCCAGAGCTTAGAATTAGGGAGGAGAGGGAGAGGGACAGCGAGAGAAGGAGAGAGAGATAAGAAGAAAATGAATATGTGTGTGTGAGAGAGAGAGAGACAGAGAAAGGGAAGTCATTTTATGCTAAATGCTAAATGGAGCCCACAAGAATCAGAATATTAAATTTACTTATGTCCTTACCTCATACTTTTTTGTTGTTACATCTTAAGTTAAAGTGAAGAAGGGCACAAATAAACTGAATATTTACTTTTCAGTTAGCTAAACAAAAAATTGGCAAAAATGTTAGCCTTTTGAGGGCAGGAACTTATTTACCACTGTATCCCAGAGCCTAGGACAGTGCCTTGTACCTAGTAGGTCCTGGACAAATATTTGTGAATAAAAAAATGAATTAATCACTACCAAACATTTAAAGAAGAATTAATACCGCGTCTTTACAAACTCTTCAAAAAATAGATAGGGAGGAACATTTCCTTACTCATTTTATGAGGCCAGTATCACCCTGATGCCAAAACCAAGGACATCACAAGAAAAGAAAACTATAGACTCTTGTGACTATAGGTACAAAAATCCTCAACAAAATACTTGCAAACTGAATCCAGCAACATATACAAAGGATGATATACCATGATAAAGTGGGATTTATGCAAGGAATCCAAGATTGGTGTAAAATTTTAAATCAATTAATGTAATATACCATATTAATAGAATTAAAAAAATGCACATGATCATCTCAATAGAGAAAGTATTTGACAAAATCCAACACCCTTTTTATGATAAATACACTCAACAATCAAGGAATAGAAGGGAACATCCTTAACCTGATAAAAGCATCTATGAAAAATCCACAGCTAACATCATACTTAATGGTGAAAGACTGGATGCTTTCCCACTAAGATCAGGCAAAAAGTAAAGGATGTCTGCTGTCACTATTTCTATTCAACATTGTACTGGAGGTTCTAGCTGGGGCAATTTGGCAAGAAAATGAAATAAAAGACATCCAGATTGGA